CGGCAGGCGAAGGCACAGGGGGCCCGCTCCCCGCCGCGCTCCGCGGGCCGTTCCCGGGGCCCCGACGGCTCCGCTGAGACGGGGCTGAAGGCGGGTGCGTGTCGGGCGGGGGAGGGCGGGACGGCGCGGCGCGGGCTCGGCGCAGGCTCCGTGTCCCGGCAGGCGCTCCCGGCGCGTCCCTGCGGGGCGGGGCGGGAACGAGCCGGATTCCAATCACTGCAGCCGGGCGCGCGCGCGGCGGGGGCCCGCGGGGAGCCGGGAGCGCGCCCGCCCCCGCCCGTCCATCAGCACGTGCCGTGGGCGGGAGGGCTGGCGGGGCTCCCCGGCAAGGAAAGTTGGCCGGGAGGAACAAGCCGGGCCTGCTTTTCCTCCTCGGTCCCCCCTCCGCGGGCGGCAGCGCGGGCCACAGCCTGGGCCAGCTTGTCGCTGGGCGCCCGGGCCCCGGCGTTATCCYGCCCCGCCGCCCAGCCGTGCTTTCCCCGTCAAGAAGCTCCTCTAGGAAAGGGCAGGGAGGTGTGAGGGCAGAAAGCGGCCCAGCCGGTGTCACGGAAGCACAGCCGGCCTTGAAGAGGGTCGAGACGCGAGAAAAGCAGCTGGAGTTGGCTGCAGGGCCGGGAAGCTCCWTGCAGATGCTGGTGGAGTTGGTGCCATGGAAAGCGGACAAGCTGCCAGCATTCACCGAGTAGGTGGGGTGCAGGATTGCCGTCGCAGCTTTGGTGGGGTTTCAGGGGAGCTGCCTGTGAGCTGGGGAGGGCAGCGAGCAGGCAACGGTGGCAGCCGCATAGGGAAAAACTCACATGCGCCTTTTGGATTCGTGGAAAAATAGTTCTGAGAAGGCTGACGTTGCAGGGCCGCATGAGGGATAGAGTTCCATTGCAAAGGACAGTGTTGTTTGTTTGCTTTTTTCATTTCCCCTATTTAAATAAATATGCCCAGTTAGATTGGAATACATTGTAACTTCTGCAGTGAGCTGCTCTGCTCGCTGATAAGGATGCTGAAGGCCATGATTTACATTGCATTTCCAAGCTCCTTATCATTAAGACAAATGGGAAAAGTAATAATCTGTCTGCCTTCAAGTGACATCTCCCAGCAGCAGTGCAGAAGGCGCTCCAGTGACAGTGCTGTGTGCTGGGGAGACTGCACAGCTCCCACCTGGGCTGCACAGTTGTGCTGCAGATGTCCTCTTGCCTTTCACTTGTCCTGTCACTTGGTTACTCTGCATCAAGAACTTTGCACACAAAGGCAGCTACAGGGGGAAATGAAGATCACCTGGATCGTGCAGACCTACTCACTTTCCGTTTGCTGCACACCAAAACTCTCTTTAGGCCTTCGGGACACACCAGTAATTGCTCGTGTGGAGATGCCTGCCCAGATAAACTGTTTCTAGAGAATAACCAGTTGGGAAGCAATCTGGCTTATTGGTGCCAAATAGCCACATCTGTTGTGGGATGTATTGCGGCAAACATGGGCTTGCTAATTTTGTTGACCTCTCCACAGTGTAGCTCCATTTTTGCATGCTAATATCAGATAGGACTTGGAAATGTTGTGTACTCCACTCGAGTTGTCACCTCTGAATGGAAGATGAGAGCACGAGCTCTGCATCCTGGCTCACRTGTGTTTTACCCACAGATTGTTAGATGAGTGCTTAACTTGTGTACTATCCTACACAGCAAAACAACAGAGGAAGTATGACTCCAAACCTATCAACTTCAGACTCCTTTAAAATGTAGGCAGGTAAAGGCACACCTAATAATTGTATGTGGTCAGATACTGTGGTGATAGGCATTTTAAAAAGGCAGTTCTTGTCTTACTAGACTTTCAGAAAATTTTTTCCGATCACCATCATCCAGAAAAATCTGTCAGTGTCCAAAACAAAGCCAGCCTGCGAGAAAGACAAAATCACAGCTTCCATGCCAAGCAATACAGAACTCCTATGCTTATGTTTATAATTTCAAAGGAAAATATGAGTCTGCTGTTCTTCCACTCTGTACTATCAGATTATAGCAGCAGAATAGACACTCAATATGGAAGAAGAATGCAACATGCGTGTGTGTGCTCCCAACCAGAACCAAAGCTGTTAGTGCTAGCATCTCTTCAGTAATAATGTGTGCTAAGACASTCCAGTGCTCGTCAGATGTTAGATATTGATTTCAATCTAGGATRCATGAATGTAGCAACAGCCACTAGCCTTGAAATGTATTTAACCCTTTTTGTGAAATGGATCAACTCTTTTCATTCCATTCCTGGTGTGTGAATTTGCACATTACAGAAATTGCTCTCTCAGCAAGTACTTTTCAAGGCTCTTGGGCACTGAGGACACCCACAAGTGACAGTCCCTGTCAGATCAGAAACAGCGTTGCTGAGGATGAAGTTTGTATTGCTATGGTAAGTAATGCCCATCTCTGCATTAATGAGTGCTGTGTAACTCCTCGTCTTAATCACAAAATAAAGTCTGCAAAAGTAAACGACATTATAATAATATTAGGGCTGCAGGAGAACAAACTACATCTTAATCTAAAATGATGAATCATAACCAACTTACAAAGGGTTTAGAGTATGATGGATGCCTGATGAAACATCACACAGAAAATACTGGTGTCTTTCAAAACAGTGCAGTACTTATGTTTCCAATATCTCTACCAGGATAGGTACAGAGACCTATTTAAACCAGAAAATGAACACTTTAGGTGATGGGCTCTCTGAAAGACACAGGATTCCAGTGAGATGCTTATCAGCAGCAGACATCTTACCTGGTGAAGATTTTAGGAATTTGCAAAAACTCAAGACACACCAGGTTTTGGTAACACRAAGTATTTATTTTGTTAATTGTGCAACATTCAAAAAACATGGAAGTCTGAAAATCTGCAAATAAGCATATGTTCATTTGACATTTGAGCAAGATGAGATGTGAAAGTCTAACATGAGATATAGAAGAAGCAGCTCAAAACTGTCTTGATGAAGAGAGCTGTATTTAAAAAAAAAGAGAAAAAGAAGAATTGAAGTCTTCCAGCTGCTTTCATTGTTATTTCCTCTCCAGGAATTTATTAGTACTTGGAATCACTAGGGAACTACAGACTTGAATATCAAAGGAACAAAGAAGTATATATAGGGAGAAGGTCAGACATGTGATAGGACTTGATCTTTGTAGATCCTTCTTCCTTTCAGTCTCTGGAATTCACATGTCTTAAATCTGTGGTCCAAATATATTTTTGAAAACTGTTTGCAATTAGATGAGTATTTCTCTGTTACTGTTACCAAAATAAATATTTCATGTTACATATTAAAAGAATATTGCCCTTCAGCCAGGGACACAGTTATTTCACTTAATATGACATGAATTTGGCTTTSTCTCTTCTTCAAAATTATTTTACTTGAAAGCATATTCTTTTCATTATAAATTTATTCAGCTGTTTGTTACTTACAAAAGTCATGGATTTTATTATGTTCCTTAAATATAAGCAAAATTAATTCAATAAGGCAGAGTCAAATCTGTGAAGAAAGGTGTTTAAAAAAAAATTTTGCTAGTGGAGCACTGGTAGTAAAGAGGCAAGCCCTRTCCAACCTTGAGTCCAACCAGCGTGGTGTGGAACTGAGGCCAAGGCTGYGCTGCAGAGCACTGTGGCAATAATCCAAGCAATAACAGCTCAATGTGCAGAGCACGGGCACAAGGAAAGAGGAGAAGCATTCCCAGAGCTCAAGCACTTGGTGTGTTTTGGGGTTACTTGCGCTTCTGCCTTGTGCAGGTGGCCGAGGAGGAAGGGGGACATAGTGGCTGTCCCTGTCCCCAGGCAGCTGCTGCAGGGTGGGAGCTGATTCCTCACTGAGCTGTGCTGGAGGGAACTGACTCCACTGGGCTGGCAAAGGGCTGAAGTCATGGAGCACTTTGATCTGGGAGACATTTTGCCAGTCAAGAACTAAACTTCCTGCTGATTTTTGAGTTTCTTCTTCCTGTGCCTAGTTGAGCTATACGATTTTACTTTTATGGATTTGCATTTACAAAACCCTTGCTGCAATCATTTCACCAGGCCATAATAAACCCGGAGGTAACTCTCCTTATAAATACAAGGAAACATTTCAAATTCTTAAAGCCAGGGCATTAAAAGTTGTATCATAGAAAAAAAAAATATTTGTAGGCTCAGGAGAGGCTTCACCAGGGTGCCTCACTCACATCAGTTTATTAGGAGAATTAGTAATACGTTTTCCCCTAGATGCATGAGCATAAAATCCCTGAAATCTTCATTTGTTCAGAGAAGATTAAGTATTAGACTGTAGTGCTGATTTTWAAAWTTATGTTTRTCAGTCAGCAGTGCCAAATGATCTRCAAGGAARTTTTAATTATACTCAGAAGCTAAATRTYTGTGTTCCTTTGCCTTTTATTACAAGATGTATTTGTGAGTTTCTTTTACAAGTTTGAATAATCCTTAGATTCAAAACCACACTGTATTACAGTTCCTCTGTTAAACCCAATGCTCAGGTTTTGTCCTGAAAGTGGAGCAATGCTGAAAGTTAAATGGTTTTTAAAGCTGCTGCTACACAAGGTGAATTCTTTTCAACAGAGAAAATTTCTGTCTTAGTGTGTATAACAGCTTTGTCCTCAGGAGGTGTGGATCCAAGTGGATGTGTTTCTGGCAGCTGTAGGAAGGGATACTGTAGAGATTTACAAAGATGGACACTTATGAGATGGAAAATACTATGTTCCTCCAAGCTTGTTAAAATGAAACAGATCTGAATCCTATACAAAATAAATGAACAAAATAATTTTTTCACTTCCTTTTTTTTTTTTCTCAGCCTAAACATATCTTTAAACATGAATATATTGGTATTAAATTGGAGCAAATGCAGCAAAAAAATCTCTTTTTTCAGATCCGAGCAAAGTCAAGGTCATTTAGGTCTACAAAATAATAAAAGGATATATTTGTATTTCAGCTGAAATGTCTGAAAATATATAATGAAGTTAAAGKCATAGCAATGAAGCTGTTCTTATTCTGTAAGACACTTGGATATTAACTGAAACTGGAMGTTGAACAAGCTAAACACATACAACCAAGAACAAATCCCAAAAAATAGTCTATAACTCCATTTGCTTCCAGTAGAAATTTGCTTGTGTCTGCAAATCTCCCCATTTGGCAGCTACACCTAATACAGTTTAAACTCTCACTGACATCAGCAAAAAATTACCTGATTAGGGATGCAGGATTGGATCTAAGATAATAGCATATTAAAAATCCACTATGGACTCAAAAGCAACTAATGGAAATTAAATCCYTGAGAATATAAAATGCTCCAAGCACTTGAACAGTTTTCATTGTACATATTCAAAATGCTAAACAATAGCAGCTATTGCATGTGTGACCATCAGGAAACACAGCTGTGCTTCTTTGTGTTACAATTAATTACTTCCGTTGTATATAAAATTGAAAGTATTGGTACTCTGGGGCGGAAAAAGGATATCCTGATACACTGCTCCTATTTCCTCACCRAGGCCTATTACTGAATGTTTCACCATTAATTCACTTACAATGAATTACTCTGCAAGGAATAAAGGAAGGATAGATTGGGTGGTTAATTGTTATGTTAAAAGCTACTTTTCTTTGCATTTTCACTCTCCTGCATTTTTATCTCATTTTACTATGTTCACATKTGCCCTCTTTGATAGTAATTGTTCACTTTTAAGTAGTTGCACTTAATGATGAAAGTCTAAAAGAAACATTTACTTAACTATCTTCTGATTTGAAGATTGTTCTATTAATATTTTTTAAGTTGCGAGATCAGAGGAAGCAAAATCTTTCTCACTATCTTTTAAAGAAATGAACAAAATAATCTCAAATGAAGTATTTGTGGCCATGTTCTCTGAAGCTGGCACACAGATGTGTAATTTATACCTTTCTGTGCCAGTGAATTTCCCTAAGCTGGAGGGGAATGAGGATTCTTACCCAGAGTTAGGGAGGAGTAGTAACAATCCTCTGTTATGCTTTTTTTTTTTTTTGTGAGAATTGCACAGGAGCAAAAACTGTTTGAGGTTGTACTAAATAGGCAAATATGGACCCTAAGGATATATACTACCCCCAAACTTTAATATCTATTTTTTAATAACACTGACTCTTTCTTTTTAGAGAACTTCTAAACAGAGAGCAGCTTCTGTGACTGCTTGGAAAGTCAATGAAGTCTCTAACAACCACCAGCCATGTAAGTCTGTAAAATGTGGATAATGTRTTGTGTATTTATCCCTGAGAATTTAATCTTGCAGGATGTGGCCTCTCACCCTAGAAGTCTCACAGTCTGACCACCACCAGACTATTTCCAATTGATTATAGGATGTCTAACACAAAGCCGAATAAGTTACATGAGGAAAACCTGGAGGCTTTCAATGTGAGAACAAGTAATTTTTGCCAAATAAAACCTTTGCAAGTTTGAGTTCAGWCTGGTGTCACAATGCAGTAACAAAAGAATGACAGCTCAGAATCTCCTTTACATAATAMAAATGACAGAAAATCACCATCCATCCACAAAACCTCCAGCCCTACTGTCCTTTTGCTGCAGCAGCTGGCACTGGAAATACAATCTCAAGGAAAAGCTGTGCTCTGTCATTATTTCATAACCACACAGTTTAGATTCGTATATGCTCTATTTGGTGCCACAGCTAGAACCAGAATCCCTGGCTAGAACTCTGGATTTATTGCAAGGACTTTTTGGCCAGAAGTAGATGCTGTGTAGTGCACATGCAATAAAACAGAAACTTTCAATTAGTGTCATTTATATTGTGTATCCACAATAAAACTCAGGAAGCCTGGTATTTGCAGGATGCAGTGGGCTGAATACACTCACACGAGCAGCACAGCCCACTCTGTCACCTTTTACCCCACAGCTTACAGTTCCTGTAAGTAACAGGAACTCTAGTCAGGCTTCTGCATGTGCATTAAATTTCCAGTATCCTTGGAATTAATACAGGGAAAAATATGCAGCAAGAAAAAGAAAATCTGTCAAGGAATGTGCTGGGGACAGCAGAAGAATATTTGGTTGTGAAAGAATAATACCTGGTCTTTCTTAATAATGCACAAATAAAAATTTTATTGCTGAATTCCTGKTTTTCATATGAAGGCAGATTTTTGGAAAGTGTGTCCTTTTTTCTGCTCTCACATCTCTGATGCTATCACAAATACCTAACAGATAACAAACCCCAGGCCTCGAGGTGCACTCAGATTCATGCRCATTCTTAAGCTATATATAGTAAATGGACTATATGACAACACTTCAAGCTGAAATYGTGCAGGAATGAAACACATCCACTTAAAGGAAATCCGAGTCTCAGTTCTGAGTGTTTTAATCCACATACATATCCCATACGTGCATATAAGAATGCTTGCATAACCAAAACAAAGATTCCTTTAAATGAAACTAAACTTCGATCCCAGCATTGTTTTACAGTCTACATATGATTAGATCTTAAAATTATTTACCTGGAAAACCATATGATTAGATCTTAAAATAATTTACCTGGGAAACCATGCTTCTGTTTTGAAATGAGATCTTTAATTATGGCTATAGATACTTCTTAAACTTCCTCAAGCTCCAAAATATCTTCTTTAATACACCGTGATTATAAGACAATCTAGAAGAATAGCAAGTTTTCTGGCTTTAGTGTAGCAAGCAGCATTCACTCCACAGGCACTGGAAGAGCCATCACCTTCATTCAATGCAAAGTTGTATTTTTATGTATATCTTCTAATTAAAAGAAATCTCAACTCTTTTTAAGTAACACCATGCATAGTAAAACTCAGTGGAAGCAGAAGAGTTTCTGTAGCATCTTTGTCACTAATGAAAATAATCCAATTTCTAAAGTGGTAAGATTGGCAAATACTTTTGTAGTAGAGGCAGCTTTATTAATGATACTTTATGCATATGAATTTATTATTACCTAACAGTTAAAATCTGGAAACTTTTAAAGGAGAAATGTTTTGTTGAAAAGTTTAGCTTTGTTAAAAAAAATAAAAATCCTTCTGCTTGTCTTTATTACACAGAAAAGTCTTGTGAGTCAGCCTGACAGTCCTTATTAGTACAACACACGTTTGTTACTGTTTTCTTTTGATGTAATCTTCCTAAGAGGAGGAGGAACTGTATTTTAACAGCTATCCAGGGGCGTATTTCATAAGCACACAGCACAGAATTTATGCCTGAATATCATCTGAATCTCATCCATAACTCTGATTTGCCTGGGAGAACAAAGCATTTCATTGTGTATTCAATAATGGTTTCAGCAATCTTATTCACACATTCCTTCCTTTCTCAATCAACAGAAACTGGCTGAATTCAAGATGCATGATTAGGTGGGAGGGGGAAACAATGCCAAAGCCTATACTTTAGAAATCCCCATTTTCTTCAGAGCAATAATCTCTCTTCACGTATCTGTGTTAAGAGTTTCGTAATGCAACACTTGTCAAGCTATCTSGCACCATGTCCTTTCCTAGCGAACTTTGCTCTTTTCCACCCTGTCAGCTGGCATGGTGCTGTGCAAATGCCTCTATTGCTTCCAGCCCCAACAACTGAACTCTGCAGGGATCACAGTGCACAGTTTAGGAAGCACTGTCTTGTGCAAAGGTTAAAGGTCAGAACAGACAATCTGAAAAACAGCAATTTTGAACTGGCAAAATATTGCATACGTTCTGGGCATTATTTTGGTGTCTTTTTTCCTTATGCACATTGTAAACAGAAATTAGGGCTGTAAAATAAAATCTTAAGTGCACAAAATTGTGATTCCTGATGCTGTACTTTGTAAAGCATCTTAATCCAAGTTTAACTAAATACATCTAACTTCTTAATTATGTTTACTACACTTAGTTGTATCTCTAAAAAGCTTGCATTCCTGAGGGGTGTGCAACAGGAATGCACAAAATGGCTGGTTTTATAAAACACAGTTACATGAAGACATCCTTTCATTTGTACATATTCCTTAGTGCTAGAGCTCAATGAGGATGTTTAAAACATTCTCTGTGTTATTTTAAATAACTTTTGCTAAGAACTGGAAGAAAACCTACCTGGACTTACGCAGTCAAATTCTGTTTGCAGATGCATCGATGTAAGTGAAGGCAGAATTTACCCACTCCTTATAAAGTTACTATAAACGGTGTTTGTTGACACAATAAGGCCTGGGACTATACAGGCCTTGTTAAGTTACAACATGTACTGTTAGCAGACTACCTCTTTTAAGGATACTAATATTTGTTTAAAACAGCATTATTTGGTCAATAAAATATTCAAGACTGCTATATAATGAAGTTGAAACCAATGCTTTAATTTTTATTTTCAGGTCTGAAGTAGAGAGTACAAGCTTGTTTATGCTTTCTTATTGATATTACATGGCTGAAAGCTGTCAGCTGTTCACATGCCATATTAATAAATATATCCAGATCATAAAGCTTTAACTGTATTTGCACATTGCTTTTATTACTAGACTGTTTTATTCATGTTGGCACAGATAATCCATGCAAGGTAGTTACTCACATCTCATAAACCACACAACATTCTGTTCTGAAATAACTAGGAACTTAGGAAAAAATATCTATCTAAAAGCAAGGGCACTTGTGGCATCAAGTCAACATGTCAAYATATTATAAAACCTAGACTTCTAATATATGATCACTGCAGGCAATAAATCACTCCATTTCAAATTCTGCTGTTTATAAATAATAAACAAATTAATATTCACTACCAGGAGACGAGTATTGCAAACAAACACTAGTGTGCCCAGTATTAGACACTAAGGAGTGTGCTCAGTGCTGTGGACATTCACATTATTAAACATAAATACAAGTAATCTTCAACAAAACATTTCACCCAAAGTACTGACCACTGAAGGACCAATGCAAAATTATTTTTCCTTGTTTTCAATTGAATTTAGAAATGTGTAATGTGTGAATCCAATATAGTAAAAAACTAACTTATAAAATGAAGTCCTAGGACTGAGGTTTTTTTCCCAGATAATAAAAGTAACCTTCTTTGGAAATATTTAATTTACCCCATTCTGCAAAAATTACACCAAAATAGAGAAAAGCATTAAAATAGCTTTTGAATCTTTTGACTGAAAAGTTATTGAACAATTTTTGATTAGATAAAAGACTGATCTTTTTAATTGATCATTCAGAGGTACAGTATCTTTGTTTTATTGGGTAAAACCTCACATTAATTAGAATAAAAAGAAATAGAAGAACTTAGGACATATGTAATAGGCATCTATTACAAGACATAAAACACAATCAAGTACACATTATTCATCTTGCATATTTTTGTACAACATTATTTTCAGTGATAGTTAAAAGGCCRTATTTTGAATTTTAGAGATATATATTATTATATATATGCATTTTACCCTCTTCATATCACGAAGGTGACATATAGCAGAGGAGTATCAGCAGTTATGTGGTATTCTACCCCTGTGAAAGTTAAAATGCTACATTATTATTCACAAATTTCTGGTTCATGTATGTGCAAAAATAATATCAATATAGATATCAAGGGTGGATACGTGGATTCCCTATTTTTGGACCACATTGTAAAGCAGCACAAGTCGTAACAGGAAATTTTTATTACATGATAATCCTCAGGGTATCTCTGTTCTTCATTCAGAGATATCACTGTACCTCATATAGTGATATGTAAACTAGCTTTAATCTCACTTGCTCAGACACCAGCTGGAGTCAGGGCATGTGCTACAGTGCAGGTTCTCTGCCCAAGGAAATTTTCAGGACTCTCTCAAGCCAGTACAGCTCCCACTGAAGTCTGCGCTGCTTCATTTTCACTGTTGCCACCCTGCAAGCCTCAGCTCTGCTTACATCCATTTCATTCCCTTTCCTGCAGCACAGACTTCAGCATTACCAGGCTGGATCCTTGCTCACCCCTTCTGTATGTATTCAAACCATCTCTCTGGGCTGCTGTGAGCTACTTGTAACCCAAGTTCTTACTTCAGGCCCTTTTCTGACTGTAGTTATGTCATCCTGGCTGTCCCCCTGTGCCCCACCCCGACTATGGCATGGCAGCCTGGTGGAACTGGCCTTACCTGGCTATTTCCCTGCTCCCAGCCCAGCCYCAGGAAGGGCTGCCCACCTCCTCAGTGCCTCATCTTTCTACACTCGCCCAGAGGCTGCAGAGTCCCTACATTCTGGCTGCCACAGGTTGCTCTCCCTGCCCTGATCCCAGCCCCACTCCCCTGCCCACACATAAAGCCCTGTGTCCCACACCCCACCCCACACCAGTAACTCCAGGCTGACTTCAGCTGCCASTCTGGGCTTCCCAGGAAACTTGAGGAAGTTCAGCCCCAGCCATGCTGCCTTTAACAGCTTTTCACAGACTGTACTCCCCAAGGTGCAGCCYGCCATCTCTGGCCATATCCTAAAATGATTTATCCTTCATGCTGCCMGTGAAGAGGAAGCTTCTAGGGACATTGGGGGGAAGGTGAAGGGGAGAATGAGACACAGACATATAAACGCATGCAGATGCGAGGTGAAAGACCTCATGAAATTCTCCTGAGGCATCCATCACAAGCCTGACCATTTTGARTCTTCCCACAGAGCCTGACTCCCTATTCTGATGCTGCAGTCAGAGACCAGTTCCAGTCAGCGGCCAACACACAAATCTGCCTAAAGGATATGTTCAATGCAGTCTCAGTATATGGTATGCTGATGTCAATTCTCTCAAATAACTGATAATAATAAACAGCATTTTGTTGAATGGCACTGAAAAATGAATTGAAATGTAGAATTTTCTCACTGTTGTGAACATGTATTGARTGAAGTCAAATACGAGTGGAAAAAAAATTTGACTTCCATAATTACGATTTATTCCTCTGGTGAATATTATGAGGCAGACCTCTGGATTTTGTAATCTATGGGACCGTATTCACACCAGCTCAGCACCGACTGAAAAAAAAAAATTTTTTTTCTTAAAAAAAAAAAAAAAAAAAAAAAAAAGGCTTTGCATATAACGTACTAGTGTTTTAGAAAAATTCATGCATACAAAAATCTGACCCCTGTAGTAACTCAGATCAGATCACTGCTAAGATCAGTGAAAACTAAGATACCTACTGAATAAATACAGGTGATACATGTCAAAACTGCCACAGGCAGTTCAGGTTGTTATTTTTGTCCAAGATGCAGACTGCCTGCAGCTAACTTAACTCTTCTATTAGAACTCCAAATTTCATTTAATCCTTCCCCAAGCTTTGGATAGTTTTTCATCCCTTAAAAGACAACCAATTACCATAAAATGGGCATTACCCATAGGAGGGACAAGACAGGACAATTATTACAATATTATGTAATTTTCTGCTACTCAAAACACAAGGTAAAATAGGTGCAGATGGCATCAGCATGTGGCCTGCAGAAAGCATCCTCAGTCTCAGAAGTACTAATTCAAAACTCAGTACTGCAAGCTGTCAACACACACATTGTAATTCTCACTTAAATGAGTTAATAAAACTTGAATGGTGATCAGACCTTCCATCTTAACTATATCAGACAGAACTGCTGTCTCCAATATAAAAATCATTGATATTCAAAAATTTGAAAGTATTATCAGTTCTACACTATTGCTAATTTGAAAAAAAGGATTTTATAAATAAGCGTGTAAACAACTTGAAAGTTGTTCTCAAACTATTAGGAAAGATRCCTGTATGGTTATTAGAAAAGATGACTGTATGGTTATCCTAATTGYTGGAGCATAGCTACTGTTTTACAATGGCAAATACTGCTACAATTCATGATGTGTTGAATTTAAATTAAGGAAAGGARTAAAGAGTATGTGACTGCTGCCTTGTGAATTCTTAATCAACATTCATTTACTACAGGAAAAAAAGCACCTTTTTCCTAATAATGTGGGATAGAAGGGAATTTTTGCAGCCTACSTCCTATAACCTAGCTGTGCTAGCTGGATGTATTTCTTCAGTGTCCACCAGTGTGAAGGTCCAGATGTAGATTCCTACCTCCCTCTGATATCAGTGGGAATTAGAAACCAAAGCAAGTTTGAATTTAATTTTTTTTTTCCCCAGGATRAAAGGAAAACTGTTTTTTAATTAAAAGTTGGCCTTTCTAGCCAGCTCTATTCCATTCAATGTAAGAGCAATTTGGAGAAAGCCAGTTGTCCTTTTCCATTAGGATTTAAAAATGAATTATCTACTGTGCACATAGAAGCCAAGTGCATTAGCAAGGCTGACCCAACCATTTTATTTTCAAACTGTTATGGATTGTCACCTAGGCTTCCCAGCTACATATGGATTCAAGGCAGACTTGTTATTTGGAAAGAATTTAAAATATCTGATGCTATGAGGTAGCACCACAACATAATGGAATAGCACTCACTTTTCATAGAGGAAGCCCTAATCTATTTATTTCCCTTTGAAAGCTATGGCCTTTGGTTCTACAGATGACTGTACATATGGCACTTACTCATTCTTGCTGTGAAAGAAAATTACTTAGTAGAGAAGTATTTTTCCAGTTGTTTTTAAACACCAGTGTGTGGTCTCAGCAGTAAAACTGCTGTGGGTAAATAACTTGAAATTGTATTTGCACGTTACTTTTTATATTAAGGTTTTTAGATAATTTCAGTATTTCCCCAAACTGTTGCTCTAATAATGAGCTAGTTCATTAGTTCATTTGGTTTTGACTGTTCGTTCAGGAGGTTTTTGTATGAACCTTGCAAAAAGTACATTCTGCATTTACGGAAGAGGATAAAGTTAAACTTCAGAATTACCAACTTTCTAGCTTTTACCAAGAGAAATGCTAGCTATGGTTATCAACTTTATGATTGCCCAGTTAGTCATCAGTTTTACCCCAGAATTACTGACTACAGGCTCTTCTTTTAAACATTGATGGCATGGGCATGCTTCTTGCACAATGGCTTATCCTTCTTGGAGTAGAATGGCTGACCTTCCAAATTCACATGGCATACCTAGAATTGATAATAAATACAATCAGGAATAATTAAGGAACAAAAAGAAGACAGAAAGATGTGACTATCAATTTCAACTGTATTGTTCTTCTGACCACGCATTTCTTTGGTAGTCTTTTGGAGTCATGTATTGATTTGCACTTGATTTAACCCACTGAAGGACATAAAGTTAGGTCCTTAAAAAAACTCTCACTGTGAGAATTGCATATTAAAAATATATAATAAAACTGTCACTTCCATAGAAAACTAGGTAGCTAAGGCAAATGAACATGCAAAAAAGAATATGAAATATTTAGRGAAAGTGTCTTTATAAGTGATCAATATTTGTAAGTGATTAATAGTTGTTAGCTTGTGAAGGAAACTCTGTGTTCCTTCTATGTTTGAATTTCCAAAAGACTTCAGTTTTCACAAGACACTTCTGTGAAGCTAGTTCAGCTTCAGATATTTATAAACATTTCTATACTTTCAACTATTCTGCCTAAACTTCAGACTTAAACAAACATTGGAAATTGTCACTGTTGGTTTGGTGTGGGCAACATACTATTTTTAGCTAATTAGAGATTCTAGATATTATTACTTTAGGAATAATACGTTGCAGAGCTGCTCATTACTATTAGAACCAGATGAAAGTACTGTTTATCAGATGTATTTTTTTGCTTTGTGTGCAGAGTGTGGGAATATGGCCAYGCTCTAGAGCTGCGTGCACACCACAGATTGATGAGTTTGACCAAATTCTCTGCTCATTRCTATTCATGCTCTCTAAACAGACTTCTTTTTGCAAGTTTCAACAAGCATTCAGCATGGAAATACAAACTTCACTGCTTTGTAAGATTAAGATTATACTATTCAGTATGGTGTTAATTTATTTTCAGTCTTGCTCTATCTTTATTTGGCAAACACTGRAAAGAATGACAGCAATAGTGGTTTGCATTGCTTTGTGCACTATCTAAAACTGGATGTTTTATTGGGAAACACTTATGATGGTCAAATTTCATAATTCTAGTAAAAGTTTATGGAGGAGAAGAAAAAATACTCCCATCCTTCTTCATCTGCAAGTAMAATAGAAATTCCATCCCTTTGCATCTTTAAGCATATGTTAGTTATTCCTGCTTTCAGGTTTTCTGATGTTACTACACAGTTTATGAATATAAAGCAATGAGATATTATTTGATGTAGAACCTACAGCACAAATGAAGCAGGTGTCATGCCAAGTGTGTCCAAGAGCTTCAATGAATTTGTCTCCAGCTTCAACAGGRTAATCACAGCCATGACATTTTGTGCTGAACAAAGCAATATAATCTAAAACACAACAAAAAACAAACTTAGAACAAACTCTTAACATAATCGTATAAAGTGGAAGGAAAAAARTAGAAAAATAGAAAGTTTCCAGACAATGAATGTTTTGGTTTTGCTCCATTTCCTACTACTTTTACTGAAACACTCCTATTGAAATTTACTTCTTTTGTTTCAATATTTAAATACAAACTCAGTCCAGAACCCCCCATCAGTATGACATTTATTGTCACAAATGTAGAAGACAAAAAATCCATGGAATTTCAGCTTATATTTTTCACATTACTTTCAAATTAGCTGTAATATATGTGGAACCTATTCATGGGACAACTATGGTTATTAAAAAGAGTCTAATGACTAGGGAATGTTACAAATTTCMATGACTGGATTAATGTTCTTTTTGCATTAAGAGAGAACATTATGGAAACCCCGTGCATGCTGGTTATTGCGTCTTTATCAAGTGTGATTTGGAAAGGCTTGACATTGAAAAATATTAGTGGAAAATCCAAAGGTAATTGGAACTCATGAAAGCCATTAGATGTTATGACAAAACCTCCAGTTTTAAATGTAGGTACCTGTCAGTCATATAATATGGTTTTCACTCTTCACTTAGGGCTACTCTGACTTGTAAAATTTGAATTGCATAACTATAAGGAAGGAATCTCCAGAGAGAAGTAGGCCAGGAGCTGACRGAATGGACAAGGGGAACACAGAGGGAATGCAACTTAAATCTTAACTTCCTTCCTATGTCAGACAATTCATTTGCATGTTAAGTACCGTTTTGGGAAAACATGGCCTTTTCCTTTCTTAGTTGGCAAGAGGCAGTTTGTTTGTTGCAGCAGCCAGGAAACAAAATCTGCACTACCATGTGTTGCACATCTGTGCAGAGCTATCTTTTCATAAATGTGGGTTGAACAGTTCTAGGTTGAAGCAGCAGCATCAGAAGTCATAATTCCAGCAACTCTGTAGAGAGATTGTGGGCAGCCCTAGAAGACCAATTTTCTTTTCTGGTGAGCAGAATCTACCAAGGAAGGGAGTGGAACATAGGAAAATGTGTAGGAAAAGAAATGTCAAGTATCACAATACATAACGGAGAGAAGAGAGGGAAGGCATTGTGGGCAGTGAGACAAAGACCAGCACTCTGCCATTCTCTAACATAAACTGAAGAAAAATACAGACACAAACACTTGTATACGGRGAGAGTGGCAACAAAATCCATGCTGGATGGGTAACTGGTATTATTTTGTTCATCAGCTACTTTATTCTTACATGCCATGAACATGAAGCGCATGATTACATGCAGAACTGCCCAGTTTGCCATACCTTTCTCACAGTAAGGTTCCCCRTCTTCCATGTGGAACAGGCTATTTCCAAACGGCTTCTTACAAGCAGCACAGACAAAGCAACTTGTGTGCCAAGTCTGTCTTAGGGCATGCATCACTTCCTGCAAAACAAACAAACAAACAAACAAAAATCTCCAGCAGAATAGCAAGCCCTGCAACTTCCTACTAGAGAACAAACACAAAGCAGAGATGCTCTAAATTCTTCCTTTCTGTATTGGCCAATTTCTCTCCTCAAAAGAAAGAATTGTGACAGAAATGGGGCTTGTTTTGGAAAGAAAGAGGAAATGGTACTGCAAGCTTTCTAGAACAATGTATTTGCCAAAGTGAAACAACATGGTTCAGCCAGCAGTTTGTATCAACATGCCCAGTCGCTGTTACAGGGGAGATTCTGCACAAAGATTCTGATTATTTTCTCCTTTGTTTTGACATGACACATTAGGAACTCTTCAATGCAAAAGTATGATTTCTTAATTAAATTTTAAAGAGTAATTTTTTAAGACCAAGAATAAGTGATGTCTGCTGTTTTAAAATAATYTAGATTATGTAGTAACTTCTTTAGGCTTCTTACAAGAATGAATCACAAACTAGCTTGAAAATCTAAAAAAAAAGGTTATTTTAACTTATATGATTAGTAAAATGAGTCTTTGTGTTTGTTCCTAAGCTATGTGTTTATCACAAAAACTCCTAATTCTGTGCAGCTGATAGTCTCTTAAATTGAGCACATCCAAATTTTATCAGCTTCTTATTTCTGTCCAATATGAGGAAATCTGTATTACTGCTTCATTCTTTTGTCATGCAGAAGTTTTCCAAGTCCAAAAGCTGTTGTTCTGGGCTCTGATGCACAGTTACCTGCTAATTTGTCAATCTTACGTGTGCCCACAATGATGTTTGACAATGTATCTCTGTCAAACAGTCCAGATTTCAAAGGGCCAGCTGCATAACTGGTGTAAATTAACTTCGTTAACTTCAGTGTAACAGCATTGATTTATACCAGMTGAGAATCTAGATCCTATTTTATGTTGCTTCCAATTACACACATGGACTCTGATTCTCTTTTAAAGATTGTTTTTAATGTCCATTGATTATGACAAAATGGATTGAAGTCCTCTTCCATGCTTTCAATCCAGTGAATAGACAAAATAGTCTAATTTAGATTTGCCATAYATCTCATTAGAGAATCACCATTTGAGGTTCATTAACTTCTGTTACTGTTTGCAAAACAACTATCACTGATAAATAGGTTTGGATCCATTTATGAACCTCAGTGAGGTAAGAAGYAAAAATAGCTTGAAAAATCTTATTAATATAAATAGAGGCAGCTGGCATCTTTGCTATTTTCCTCATGAAAATCCATAATGGGAAACTGATTTGTGCCAGCATTCATTAGGTAGGTTAAGTCAGCACTCTGCTCTAAATTACTCCTTCTGCKGCAGCAGTAAACGAGACTTGGTTGGAGCCAGAGCTTCACCATCGATGTCTGATGGTGGCATCCCTAATTGGCAGCTGCAGAGAAGAGCATCTGTAATGCCAACATTTAGATAGATGTCAAAAGGGGACAGCTAGGAAGCGAAAAACCAGTGTAGGACTCCTTGCTTCCTCACTTGAGAGGATCATGTTATAGATTCACTACAATTGTGGCATAAATACACTGCTAAAATMATTTCTGGTATTCCAACCTCAACCATCGTAAGGTATATGGAGAACAAATTAAATTGTACATTCACTTGTACGTGSGTCCTTTATGACAAAAGTGGCATGTATTATTGTCTTTGTGGAATTCTTTGTATTTATTCTGTATTTTTTTAACTATAAGAAGCCAGCAGGATTCCTCAACAGCTGTGCTGTTAACTAACKGTGAGGTGCAGCAAGAGCAATGGGCCTCTTTCCACCATCTGACTTCTTCACTAAAATTTTCACTAAGTCCTGTGCAAAAAATAAAAACCTAGTTCAAGTCTCTTATTATAAGGAACAGAGAGATAAAATTAACATTGYGTGTATCAGATAGCAAAAAAACTATCCAGAAAATGTTACTTCTTTTACACTCAGTGAGATGGTAACTGGATTACATATTCTGTCTGTGAGTAGAATAAGGTATAGAAATATCCAAGACTTCAGATGGATAAAAATTATTCTAAAATAATGTTTCTCATTCTGAAATAATCAACAAGCTGGGAAATAAGTCTTAAAAGGATRAAATAACAAAGTATCTACATTCACTACTCACAGTCTAAACTATTTCACTATTTCAGTATACAACACTGCTGGAGAAAGGGTTAATCTTGTTCTCTTACCCCCATAATCTTAGTGTGGCATCTGGCACAGGTTGGTGCAAAGAACTGTTCATAGCAGCGTTCACAGTACACGCTATTCTGCTCCTCCACAAAGCACATATCAGCCAAGGATGTCTTGCAGTAAGCACAATTGAATTCTTCTGGGTGCCAAGAGCGACCCATGGCTACCAGGAAAGGACCTCTGGAAACAACCACAATTATCTTATTTGTATCACAAAAAAGGCTGAATGACCCTGATTGCAAACCCACTTTGTCAGACACCACAAACATGTTTAAGAAGCTACTTGAACCATGAGGTGCATATTAAAATAATACTCAGAAGCCTGAAGAGAAGTGGTCTTTTTCAAGATCATTACTCAAAACACACTGCTAATTGGTTAAAACATTTCATTATTTGGTCTCATATAGCAGATTTACAGACAACTGTTGGAAAACCAATTGTTTTYGTATCTGCATAGCTATAACAGGCCTTTGTAAGTACATGCAAARACAACAGGAAAAGGCCAGAAGCACAGAAGATAATGCTACCATTTGAAAGCATGAAATAACAGGCAAATTATCAGCCTTGCACACCCACATCTCACAACATTCYTAAAGTTTCTTCTCCTTCCTTCYTTCCATCTGAGAGCACTGCATGCAACACATTCTAGTAATGTCAGACTATCAGGTGACAACTTGCTGTTTCATTATGTGGAAGACACATTAAATTCATTTTGGTGATTGACTCTGGTGATTGTAGGTAGGTATAATGATGATTACTGGAATATTTCCATTTCAGAATATATACAGRGCAATAATCAGCAGTTCCACATCACCAAACTAGTTTCTTTTAGTGGGGAAGACTGTCATTAAACACGGATTGCMTAAAGTTGGATAGCAGTGCACAGGGTAACAGCAGGCACTGGTCCAGCAGAATGAATTGGGAGAGAAGGGAGAGGCATGCTATGAATCACTGGTAATGGAGTGGAGGCATTATCTTTCTCCAGACACAAAACCAACAATTACATTGGGCTGCTGTTCCAAAATGATGCCTTGTTCCTTTTCTCTCCACAATCCCCCCCCTCTGTCCCCAGCCCCCCAACTCTCCCTAAGAAGTTACAAGAACCTCCTTCAAAGCGTTACTTTAGGACCAAAAACCTGTTTGAAAGCAAGCAGTGATTTGCTGCAGCATCCAAGAGACAAACAATTAGCATGTATAGCTTTGCAGTGATAAAAAGTGAACCACACAACAACAAAATGAGCTCTGGAAATGTTAAATTAATGAAGCAGACAACAGACATCCCTGCTGGGTAATTTAACAGAGTCTTAGGCTCTGGTACTGTATATTAATGTACAATAACCAGTCTCTCTGATACTTTTTGTTCTGCTTCATCCCTCTTCAAAGGCTCATGACCTTACCGAATGACGCTGTTACAGTGGCCACAGAGCGGGGTTCGGCTGCTGGCTGGAAAACGCTCCGCCCTCTGAACTGTTCCCCGGGCTAATGCAGGGGGCTGGGAAGAAGGTGAAACTGGAGACGGGTAAGCAGAAATTGAGGCAGGAGATGGCACTGGAACACCCCTTGGGAGGATGTGCTTTGTGACAGTGGTGGTGGATTTTCCAGGTGCAAATTTCTGGGAAAAGGAGTCATCTGTTACCCAGGGAGGGCGACTCGCAGGCTCCGTGTTGGCAGGGGTGTAGGAATGAACTGGTGCTGGCGCTGTTTTAAGTATCCCAAAAGAAACCAAGAAGGATTTTAAAGTCTATTTCTTCCAATGTCAATACAGCAACACTTACCAAAGGGTACTCCACGACACACACACAATAAAAGCTTCAGATGATACTTAATTATGATTTGTCCTATTGTCCACATGCTTGCTTATTCTGGGCTGAAGCCAGGGGTATCGGCACAATCACTGACTTTTAATCCACATGCATTACAGAAGTCATTGCCTAGTGGCTTTTATGGATTTTATGGAGACCATTGTCAAGATCATCTCTTCATTTTCTAGTAAGAATGAATATGACAATWCTGTGATAATTTCAAAGACTGTCATATATTCTGTTTAAGACAGGTTAAAAATAGGAAAGCCAGATCATATATTGAACTTTCAGATGGAATTCCCCAGAACTGCAATAAGTAACGCTTAACTTTTGATCTCATAATATTAATTAAAATGCAACATTTTCTAAAGATGTCACTGTTGTCTGTCAATTATAGGTTTATTCCTAGGTTTTTGAAGGAAAACAGGCTCCCACAGAGAACACAGAGATAGAGAGCACTTGAAGCAATACTGAGGGAGCCAATTCAGCTCACATGACCAGCAAGATAAAGCCAACAGCACTTAGAGGAAGGCCAGACTTGTGGTTATGACTGATCTCAGCTCAGTTCTTGGCTCTGCCACAAACTTCCTGTATAACTTTGAGCAAAGCACAATCTCTCTGTGCCTCAGTTCCTGTGTGTAAAACAGAATATTATACTTTCTCTCTTCCACCCTTTGACTAGCACATAAAACCTTCAGTGCAGTCTGTCCCTGTGTTTGTGTGCACCAGGCTMTAAGCTTGGGTGGAGCTTTATCACATTAAAATAAGCAGAAGCCAGAGCCTGCACATACTGACAAGYTTTCCCATTGCCCTGCTCTTTTCAAAACATCAGCTCTTGCATTATGTAGGACTGCAGTTACTGCCCAAGAAACAGCCTCACTTTGCCAAGTGCAGGAGCACTAAAAGCAGTTTCCCTTTGCAAGGAAAACAAAGTGATTGACTGAAAAGAAGCTTGGAGAGTTGAAGTGTTTAGCCCAAATGAGAGAGCACAGCTTTGGGAACAGAAGCCAGTTCTCCAGCAGTCTAGGCAAACACTCTGCACAGTTGATCCCAGCACCAATAAAATGATGACCAAATACAGCATGTACAGTTTCAAGGGGCTTGCAAGTAGAAAGGTATTTCAGACAAAAGGGTTCTGAATGTAACATGGATCTTTCTGATTAAAAAAGYGGTGAGAAGATTATGTTTGATTCAACATCCCTACCTTAGCCTACACTCTGCCACATAGTAATTTACACTGATTATTGGCAATTTGCACGTGGTTAAATTGCATATATATCAACGCACTGTGATCATCTTGTGATCTTCTGTATTGAGGTCAGAGTTGAACCTAGTGCATTTTCTTGATAAAAATTCCTTATGGTACAGCATCAACAATGTTTCTGCTTCATAAAACTGTACCCACCTTAGCTTGAGGCTGCTTTTTTTTTTTTAACTTGGAAATGGTAAAGAGTGTTTAAAGATTTCAGAGCAGAGTTTATATGCAATCTCTTTAGATCCTAAGGCTGTTGCTATTTATGTATTACAGTATTAAGACAGGCAAAATTRGAAGTTAATATTTCATCTCTAATTGGTGAGTTCAAAAGGCTCCCACCTATGAGGCTCTCTAATTAAGTGACTTCTAGCTCACTTCACTACATTCTCTCTAGTTTCTATTTCTTTTCACTCTATCTCTTCCATTTCTGCAGTAAAATAAAGCAACAGAAAGTTAAGTAAAACAACAAAATAGGATTTTTTTCCAGGTACTGAAAGAAAGTACCAGAGAATTATTGCAAAATGCAAATGTTGCGTTTRCTCTGAGTTTTCTTTTCAGCTGTTATAATTTAATTTTACAGGCTTGATTTATTAAAATACATTTTCCCCCTGTGAACAAGCTGCAATTACTATTGCTTTAAAATAGTATCACTGCAATGTATTAGAAAACTTCCACTAACTTGGAGATTTTAGCAATTGTTATTAAAAGGGAATTATTGTTTTATTTGCATAGAACTGCACCCCCAAGCTTATATGAACAAYTCTTTTGTCTTAGTAGCTATTGCCATACACATTCACCTTGAACATTAATGTATTTCCAAAAGCCTTCCAACATACATGCAGCAGAAAAAAGGGGCTGCTTGCTGTTAAAAAAGTACTAAGATTCAGTATGTCAGTGAATGTATTCTCAAAATACCAATTTAGTATGAGTTGACCATTAACTGTTAAAAAATGAATACTTCAGATAATTCAGAAACATAGCCTGCATCACCTTGTTTCTCCCAGCCCACACATTCTCTTAAAGCAGGAGAGAATGAATGAGATTATTGTTATCCTGAGAGAATGGCAGGAGAAGAGGTTTCTCTTAACAGTAATGGGAACAAGCCAATTCCTTGCTTCTGGGGAATTTGGAATTCTCCCTCTCAGCTCTTCATTTATCGTCTATGGCTATTTTCTCTCCAGACAAAAGGGCACACTACCAAAGACTCATTTAGCAAAGCAAAGATTTATAGAGTCTCGCCTTGGTCACACTGGCTTGCACTGCAAGAACAAGTTCTTTTTTCCTTTGTTAGTAGATCAAGTAAATGTTATTCTTTATTATTTTCAATAACAAATGAAATTAATAACCACAACTAATTGGGCTTGTTCTACACTTAATGGCTGCATCCTTGAAGCCCAAAGTTTTCCCAATATTGTTACGGTATAGAGTAGGTGGCAAACAAAAGAGATTATGTTTTATAGGGAGACACTTCTTATTCAGGACAATTAAAAATGAAATAATGGTGTGGAAACTGCTGTTTTAGGATTGAAGATACTTAGGATTCCATGTAAAGTTCATTAAGAACTGTGGGAATCTTTCTACCAGTTCCTAGAAGAGCATATCAGGCCTTTACACTTGACCACTTTTGCATACAAAAGCAGGCCTAGTTGGACTTAGGTATTTAAAAGGAAAGATCTTCTCTCTTACATTTACGTGTCATGTTACTTCGTGGTACAGAACTGAAGTTGGAGTTGTTTGGGATATGTGAAAAGCTCTTTTAGCCTGGGAAAGCCGAYGGGAAAGGAATACCCAGGCATGTTCTGCCATCTAGTGGGCCTTGTTCAGAAGAGGCATCTRTGCTCCTTTTGAAAATGGGATATGAAATTTAGGGAAAAGATTTCAGAGTTCACAGCTTTCCCTTCAGGGAAAAAAAAATCAAAGATCTTTAGCAGCAGAAAATTTCCCACCTGAGTTAGGTTAGTCAAAGTGTWGACTTCCTGATAAATCCCATTGGAGCCAGACACTCAACAATTTGAATTGTTTCAATTTGAGACCTGTTTCAGTTTGTTTGGGTTTTTTTTTTCAACCTGATACATTAAAATAGCCTTGTAAACCCTCTCAGTGACCGATTCARTTGTCTCTGTAGTGGATATACGAGCCTGTTGAGTGGTGTTTTAATCTGGAAATTGCCACCGCACATTTCCAAGGGAAGCCAGTCATTGACAAAGTTGTGTGAAGGAGTTTTCTAACTGGTGGTTTGTTTCTAAGTACTATTGATTTTCCCATCTGTGACAGGAAATGCCATTTCCTCCATTTCTTCCCAACTGGCAATTTCCCATTGTGTCAGGACTGCARCCGAGTTCAGCTCACGTTCCAAAAMTACTCTGAAGAGCTACCACATGAAATATATAACACTTCACAAAGGTACCAAAACAAGAACCAAACATCTTCACCAAAATCTTTGCCTGGAATCTCTTTTGTACCTGAGTCACTTCAGGGTTCAATTACGAAGGTAGTTTAGTATCCCTCAGTGGATATTTCAAACTCCTAAACAGTACAGGTTTTTGGKTTTTTTTCCCCCTTTCTCTGCCAATTATTTAAGCCTTTATTGAGAAACAATGAGGCTCAAAACCAGCAGCATAAGGAATTACAAAGGAAAACCAGCAATGTAAGGAAGTGCAAAGAAGATGCCCAACTTGGAGAAAACAACAGCCTTTCCTCTTATTCAAAGTTGAATTCAACAACCACGTTTTACTTTACCAGATACAGCCAATAACTGGAAATAGCAGCAGATTGATTTCTGTGACAGGTTTGTATAYTGAACTGGAGTTTATACTTCCCCAAATGAGCACAGGCTTAACATCAATCAGTGAATTTAGGAGATTTTGAACTTGCTACAGTTTGCTCTCTTCTATATTATAGAAATAAAACTGCTGTCATCATCTTTTCAATTCAAAAATAATAGCATTGGCCTTGAGTGAGAATATGTATACACTGATGCACTTAACCAAAAGCAAATGAGAAGCTGAGAAACTGAAGTTTATTTACTTTGAGACCTTAAATATTTAATGAGATCTCTGACTTAACTTTTTCTACCTTTATGTCTCAAACATAAAGATCAATTGATTTGTCTGTCTGTTTTATGTCTAACTAAAATTCCTACATTTGTTTAATTTCAGCTGATCCAGAAATAGAACATTACAGTTTTAGACTTATAATTCTTGGCTTTTTCATATTTATTTGACTGTAGAGATATAAATCAAMTTTATAATTTTCTTGCTAAGATCAGAAAAACCTTAATTTGAAACAGAACTGCATTYAGACTTACACTGCTGTCTCATTTAATTCATTCAGTCTGAAGGTTCACATTTTGGTCATCAATGGTTTTAGAAGTTCAGTCCACACATTAATACAAAGGAAATTTAAGTAATATCAAGGGACGTGTTTTCCAAATGAATGAAAAACCAAATATACTCCTTCAGTTACTAGATCTCCAGGAAATGGAATGGCATTATAAAGTGCTTTAATACCTCATTCTTTATTTCAAATAAAGTTCCTTATACAGTCTCACTTATTTTGCAAATGTATCCTACTCAAGCAAACTCCACTTCCTTCATCTCCTTCCTGAACTGTGCATTCTTTTGCTATTTTATCAATTCTGGAGTGTCACTGGGCTCCTAATTGGATACACTATGTTATTTTTCAAACATATCTCTTCTGAAAAATCAGGCTACACATTTTTTTTTAGACTTTCCTGTTGCTTTTATTTTTCCCCTCTGTTTGTCCCATACTTTAACTCTGAAGTACAATACAAATACAACATAATCCTCAATCTTCAGATAATCTGAGGCAAAACTAGCAACATCTACTTCCATGTGTATAAATATTTTCTGATATGTCTGTGTACAAAATGTGTGCTTTTGACATTTAATAAAAGAAATACGTGAGGACTTTTTTCCTGAATCTTTTCAGTACTTTGAAGGCTCCTTACCTGGCTGGTAGACAGAGGGCTTTATGCTGGCAGTAGTAACAACTCTCATTTTTGAAGCAGCAGAAGGAGCAGGACTTTCACTGTAGCTTCCAGAAACTGGCATTGGTGTATACGACTGGGTTGTGTTTCTAAAAGYAAAATGTAGGTGTGAACAGCTTTATAAACAGCAAAACTGACCATGAATTAACGGATCTGGCAGCTTCCAGAGAACTCCATGAGGAACTGTCTGTGAGAGCAACAGAGACAATGCTGTGAGATTCACCAGTCTTTATCATTGCTAGGCTTATCCAAGGCTTGGACAATTCTTTGGAAAGGAAAATTAGATGAACGGGGATTTAAAGTAATGCCAAGTTTGCTGTTGTTGTCACAGAAAMTAGCTTGCTGAGGGTATGTAACAAATTTGAAACTCTCAGTTTAACAAGGGATCAGACTTCAGAAATCTGCATACRAAGTTTGTGTTTTCTGCTCTGCAAATAAAAAGACCTGGTCTTGTCTAACATAAATCAATGAGTGGTATTTGGACTTAAAAATATACTTGCTCAGCACAATTACTACTAYTACAAATGCTAACTAGTGTTTATATACTGTTATATTACTTTCAAAAATATTTTAGTGACCTCTAAAAATTTTTCTGAAATTAACTCTTTTCCCTATTTAGACTGAACCCAAAACTTACTTATTAAATTAATTTTCTTGATGTTCAGATTCAGCCGACAGAAAAACCATAAGATATGCAATATAATGCACTTTCTTGCATTCCTAGAATAAAAAACATTTGCTCAGGATTCCAAACGTCAGTAAGAAACCATTCTTCTCTATTTTATGGCTTAGATGGTGATTCTCAGTTTGATTCCAGTAACACATTAAAAAATGCACCTCTTCTATCTGCTAGTTACTTGGAATGATTCTGTTTGCAGTGTCTGTGCTTTGTAGATTGCTAAAAGAGCATCACAATCCAAGCAAGCAAGAGAGAATAAAGTACAAGGAAGAGAAGCAACAGATAACGAGACGTGTGCAATAAGAAAAACTATTCACTAGAGAACATTGTTCTAGCTCACCCTGAAAACATAGTCTCACTCTTCATAGGAACAGATCCCTATCTATTTGTGCTGATAGGAGTTATTTCCATAGTGTTTGTCTATAGGAAAACATTTGTAAGCATGTCAAAACAAGAGTCCAGCATTGCCAGACTATTGGTCCATCTTGACTTTACTTTCTTTAACAGTGGAAACAGATGCCACCCTGAGAAAACCCATTATACTCTTACATGGCAAACATAGCAGATTTCTTCTAATACAGGTAAAAAACATTCTGAGAAATGGAAACTTTCAATTTTTAATTTTGAACAAAATAAACCTGGCCTCAYGACGTAGCTTTTTGCTGCTCTGACAGTGTTTCTACTATAGATCCAGTTTGCATAGCATTGCTGCCTCGAGCTAATTTATTTTGTCTATTTAGCAAGACCTAGAAACCTAACTATTGCTACAATGGCTACAGCTAATTATTTCTGTACCTAGTCTAAGGTTTAGGGCTGGATTTGAGCCCACTATACTGTGAATGAAGAGGACTCTCCAAGATAAACTATTTTAGTGGGTTTGTATTCACTGTGAATTCTGTTGTGAAGTGTGCTGTGATTTTGTAACTGCCAAAGCTGTTCTAAGCACTGTAAAACTTTCTATTTTCCATTTTAYCATCTCTTTCCTGATGATACCTCATCTGTGGTGCCTAAGAAGGAGTCATTGGACAGAGGCCATGGCTCCTATCATAGCACAGGGACATGGACACCGTGGGGCACCCTGGCTTCACACACAGCTTTCAAAATGCCCTTAGTTAAATACAACACCCAAAGACTTGTCCTTGCTTTAAAATCTGCTCTTCAGGGTAAACTAGACAGATCAGTGCCAGATATTTACAATGTGAGTTAGAAGACTGTAAAATGACGTGTCATTCAGCCTTAATCTGAAAATGTCATCCAGTCAGGAAAGTCTACTCCCAGGTGCACAGGTCCRATGGTTAGAAAGTCATTTGAATCTCTCTAAATGCACGAAAGAAAGAAAGAAGTACTGAACCAGATTAGTGATACCTAGACTGTCACGAAGAGAAAATGGTTATTCAAAATGGAAGTGCTTCCCAAATGTAATAGCATAGTAAAACCATAGTGCAAATTTCCTTGTGTTCAGGGAAATTAAGCTGAAAAAAACCAAAACACCCCCGTCTTTCACCCGCATTCATAGTACCAAAATCATAGCAAAATCCAAAGAAATACTGAACCCTTTTACAATGTGTATGATGCATATTAAATACACTAAGGAAGATAAGAAGGCTTATCAAAGAGATAAAGTGTTACACTACATCATTAAGGCTTTAGTGAAGTTAAAGATTTATCAGAATTTCTGCYGAAGAAAAGGAAATAGCATGTGATTAAAAGAACCAAAAAAAAGAAACTAGAAAGAAAGAAGGAAATTAAGAAAGAATAAAAAGATGTCTTAAGGATCAAAGATGCTTTAATGGATCAAGAAGCACTGGCATCCCGAAAAGCAACCTTATTAAATTTGTCTGTAGCAGTCAATGGCACATGACAGGCAGCAAATTAAATTCTGGCTATAAGAACTATTAGTTGTCAAAAMCAAAAAAGAGTAAATATTTCTAAGCAGATAATTTTTATGTTAACGCTTCACTAGATGCCTACTAGTAGCAATAAATTGGTCTGTTAAGTGCTTTTAAGGTAGAGTAGCTGCACAAAACATTTTTATACCTCTGSTTTGACTGGTAGCTGATGGAGGTGGAAGAATGCCGGTTGAAACTAAAATGAGACAAAAGTGGTATTTGAAAAAAATACACAGAACTTTGGGATAACTTGTCCTTATTTCCTATGAATAAGAAGTGCTCTTAAGTGCTAAGGTAAACAACATGTACATATTTATAATCATATGAGTATTACATCACATTTTGTTATCTTATTTAAGGGATCACAGTGAAACCTGAATAGTGGTAACACAAGTCAACGAGCTGAATATATTGTTCCATAAGTCACTGTCACCTGGTCAAGTTATTTGGTTGTGGAACTCCAGTTATTTTTATTAACACAAAAAATAAATACTAGAGATATTTCTCAGTGTTACAAGTTAAAATTGCATCAAATCTTAAAAGCAAACCTCGAATGAACCAAAGGCCAAAGATCAGGGAAGTGTCCCAGCTTACRAGGCAGCTCAGACAATCCCACAGAAAGGACAGGTTGGTGTAGTTGAAGCAAAAACATCAACCCATCATGTTCAATTTGTGCCTTGCTGAACCTTTCTACTGCTACAGAGTCTTGGTAAACAGGTAGACTTTTTTTTTTCTTGAGGAAAGAGTATAATTTCAGAGCATAAATGAGTCATTTATGAAAATACAGGAAGTTCTTGAAAGCCTGCACAGTGCAGGATCTGAGAAACAAGAGGATTCAGAAAGAGCAGAGCAGGGCTGTATGGCAYCAATCCCATCCCACAGGAGCACAGCCCATATCTGCCAGAATTGCCAGGAGCCTGCCTCATGCCAGTTACTCTCCTAACTTCTGGAGTTAGGAGTTTTTCTTCCCTTTACCACAGACACAGTGCTTGGATTAAAATCTCATAATCAGAAGCTACACTTGATTTTTAGAACCATAATTGYAACTCTTTCCCTTGTTTCTCCTGGTTTTGTATGCCCACAGTGCTGTCTCATGGGGTGCCCTGTTTTAACCCTCTGGATGGAGTAACCCATCCATAAAGAGCTTCAAKCTTATTTAAAACTCTCCTGCTATACTTTCTTCTTTTAAGTAAGATTTTAAGTGGAACAGATAACAGTAAATCAGATTTCACTGCAGATGTAGAAGTAAGAGTGACACAATCAGTTAAAGATTAGTGATTTACTTCAAACACTCCTCTTTAGGAACATTACAAAGATTTTACTCACATTAAGTGTTATGCATATGTTCACAARTGCAAAGTCACTATAGAACTGGATCTACTAAAGTTTAAAATCAGATTTAAATTGTTAAGSATATAAATCAAGAAATTCCCCTGTGTTTCCTTGGTGGATCTTTCAAAAGCATCTAAAAGGAAAAAAAAAAACCAACAAACAAACCCCACACAAACACTGGAATAATGGTGGTAAAACCTGAGCCACACCAACCCAAGAATATCCCTTACGGTAAAATAAAACAGTGTTGTAATTAAGTCATCCATATTTTATTTTGAAATAAAATTATATKAAATGCTCAATGCTCCTCTGGTATATGTCAAGCTGAAACTGGATTTTTAAGTCTGTAATTTGGCATGCTAAAGCATTGCTTGATTTCTAAATGAAAACTATCAGATGTTAAAAATTTTAATTATAAATTATTTTAGTCCCTTATGTTTGAATACAGTAGCTACAATACACAACAGTTTTAATTTAAAAATAAACATGGAATAGTGCAGCAAGATAAAGACATCCAAAACCAACCAACCAAACTGAGTTTGCTTCTTGTCCCTGATTATCAGGGAACCAAATTTTTACAGCTCCTCCAARTCTCTGCTTTGCCCTTCTGTGCCTTTGGTGAAGCAGAGGCAGTAATGTTTGCCTGTTGGTAAGAGCTGGGAGCAGATGACAGCATCACACCGTGTGTCATTCATTGACAAAGCAGCAGTGTGTAAAGCTGAGATGCTGTACATCTTTTATCTATGGCCTAAACAATTGCCAGGTACTAGCAGGTGGTTTTAGGAGTCTGACTAAAGCATTGCTTTCTGTAGTAGACAGCTGTTTTTCATAGATTCACAGAACCTTTGAGGGTGGTAGAGGCCCCAGGAAGAATCTGATCTAACCWGCTGAAAGCAAGGCCAGCTYYGAGGTCAGACCAGRTTGCTCCRTRTTTTAGCCAGTGATGTCTCTAAAACCTTCAAGAATGAAGACATTCTCTCCAGAACAAGCCACTTCCTTTCAAAGGGACAGGAAAAAGGGCAATAGTCCCTGCCAAATCTAAGAGGAAATTTACTTCCAGTTCAAATGTCTTAATAGCTCAAGGTCATCTGTTTATCCCCATTACTCATTAAAATTAGTTTCACACGATTAGTCCATATTGGTACATAACTCCCAATGAATTTGTATGGTTTCAAGGCCTCACACTGCTTCCCWTGTCCCATTAAATGGATATGAAATRTAAGGAAAATGGAAGAAAGRTYAATTAAGAAATAGTATTGCTTTAGCTCTAAGACAGACATGCAAGTAGTGCTAAGACAGCAAGTACTGGCTATACTGATTTATTAGCTGTTTATATGTAAATTATGCATATTGGTGCTTAACTTAGTCTTGCCCATGAAACTCAATGATCCTTAAGATCCCTCCCAGCCCAATCCATTCTATGATTTCATGATTTCCAAGGCAGGAATGAAAACASAGCTCTTATGGAAGATTTAGATGGGTCCCAAGATGTAGACTGGGGAAACATGAACAGATGTGCTCTGTCTGACCAGAGTAGTTACCAAAGCTTCAATGTAATTTCATCCTTTCACTGATAGAGATATTTCAGTTTTCAGCTGAGAACAATCCTAAAATCAAATATTTTCTGTAGCTCAGAAGAAGTAATAGGTTTTGCATGTCAGTGTTTTAATCGAGCTCAAATATCCACAGTTATTATTGCTTAGAAAGCAAGGAACCTTACCTGAGTACAAGAGGCTTCTTGAAACTGAAGTTACAACTGGTGTACTTCCACTCAAAAAAGAGAAGTACATCAGCACTTAATTTTATTTCCTATGTTTTATCAGCTCCAAACTGGAATTACTCCCCCTATGTAACTCCCATGGCTGTGAACAGACATGGTTACATGCTAAAATAAAAACMCTTATGATGATTTGTTCTGTAGCTATTTCATTTTTGCACTGGTTTCAGTGATGTGAAGCCAAGCACTTCACTGCCATGTTATGTGACTCTCTGGAGAAAAACCATTATACCTCTTGGTTGAATCCTTCAWACCTATACACTTTGTCCATTTACAAAATCACCTTTGGGTGATTCCGGTCTTTTCATATAAAGATAAGAGAGACATGAATAATTACAATCTCAACTGTATTGCTGATTCAATTTTTCATTATTTCTGAAGACTGTGTCCAAATGAGTCTTAAAATCTACTGCTTTTTCCTCTGTTAGTGTTGTCAAAGTTTTAATGAAAGCAGTGAAAAGGCTTGGAAGTGAGGAAGTACAGCAGCATTCTCTCTTTCTAGTGGTAGAAGATAGTTGTGATCCTGTGTTTTCACMAARAAAAAAAAAAAAAGGTCCATCATTCTCACCTGGTGTCTCTAGACAAATATTCTCATTTCAGGATGGCAAAAGCAGCACAAACCAACCAACTGAAATCCCTCTGTTCCAAGAGACCTTGTGGTTACAAATCCTACATCTAAAACTCGATTGTTTCCTAGCTCAGTTGTCATGTGGAAGATAAAGAAGGGGCTATTCCTTTAAACACATYGTGCTTTTCAATGGTCTCTGCCAAGTCAATCTCTTCAGAAAGTGAATTCCTCAAATCAGAGAGCATAATACAAAATCAAAACAAATTAGGTKAAAAGAAGAGAGCTTTACAGATATACCTAGACTGAGATGAGATAGCAGATGAAATAGTGGAAGCTGCTAATGACATGTTCTTGGGCCCATGGAAAGGCTTGGGCTGGGAAAGAGAGCTGGGTGCTGCAAGAACTCTGCAGAAGACACATAAAAGCATGAACAAAATGATTTAACAGGGACACAAATCATGACATCAGAACCCAGCTCTGTCAGGATTCAGACATAGGAACAGGTTTTCTGTAGTATACATCTGCAGATTTACAGAATAGCACAACCAAGMACATTCCTACAGAACACAAGACAAAATGCACACATTATGAAAAAATTTTAAAACCAGACTCTATCAATAACTAAGAAAGACAATATTACAGGACAGGACTTTTGTCAAGGATACATGCTTTTATCTGAAAGATGTGAAGATGTTTGAGTCTAAATACAAGATAAAAATTTTAATATGCAAGAGTACTAGACAGAAGAATATTGTATCTAAAACAGAAGAGGCATTTTTTTGTTTGAAGCAGATACTAGGTAATACATTTTCTTCATGCTACAATTTAAACTGAGGGATATCATATTGTTATAATATTATCATTGTTTCATGCAAAAATGCCTTACAGGCCAGTTCAGAATCAGAGCATAATACCTTATTCAAATSTCCTTTGCTGCCTGACTGATTTTCTTGTACTGGAATAAAACCACTGCATTCTGGTAGGTCATGGTTAGGTAAAATCTGACTAAAGTGAGAAACTAAATAGTTGGCATATACACATAATGCAAGTCAACTAGCAAAAAATTAATCAAGAAGTAGAGCCAAGAGAACATTTCCAATTCCATTTACACATACCTAAAATATGATATCTCTGAGGTCTCAATTRTTTAAAGTAGTTTACATTACCAGAAGCGTGTTTTTCCTTGGATKTTTAAAGCATGCTAAAGTATACATCATTTCAGCATATTCATGTAGCAAACCCCAAAGGTAAAAGAATATTATGYACAAAAAGAATTCACTCTTATTTTCTCCAAAAATGACAGTGGTGTAAGTGACAGCTGTATAAATCCCACACATTTCCTCACAAGCTGTYTGACAGTTTTAATATACAACTGTAACACCCACTGGGCTACAAGTTTTAGGAATGCGGCTCCTTGAAACTTACTTCAGCTCTAAGGCTAATTCTCATAMGGAAAAAAAAAATTAGATAAAWCTAATAGAAATTAATYGACTTAACTTACAGAGCAAGTCAATCATCAAGTGTCCACCTTGTTTCACTCTTATCTGCTGTGCTACAGTAAGCTCAAWCATGTGAGYAAATGAYATTTTCTAATTTTCCAWTTCTTGTCCTACTGCAGAAACACTMTTAAAAGAACATTCACTGTAACTATTGTGAGGAGTTGTTTTGGTTTTATTACAAGTGGTATAAAGATATTTCTAATTTTAAGCCTAGACTCACTTTCTGAAAATGAAGTTACATTTTTAGGACTATTTTATTTTGCAAATTCTATGCAAACTTGAACAACATACCACAAAATAAAAAAAAAAAAAATCAACAAAAACATCACCCCCTCCCTTCCCCCAGAATATATAAAGGCATGTAAACCAGGTTATAGCATTTCATACTACATTCTTAAGTTAAGAATGTGTATGCAGCATTTCCAAAGCCAGATGGGGTACAAAGCAATGGAGCATTACCTTTGGAAGGAGGATGAGAAAGACTCTTGCACTACTGAGGTGGTGGCTGGTGCTGTCATCGGGCTGGCAGTGTTTTGAGCAGCAGCAGCAGCAGGCTGAGGTGCTGAAGCATGTGGTGCAGGAGCAGCAGAACTGGGAGCCACCGGGGCATGCTCAACAGGGGTACTAATTAGAGTTCAATGCAATAAAACAAGAAGCATCTTMAGAAGGCACGCATTTACATGTAGAGCAGAAAACCTACTATGTTTGAACCTGCAGCTGCAAACATAGTAGCAGGCTGGGTTACTGAGGGAAAAGCACAATTATGCAAAGAAAAAAAAGACATTTTTTCAGCCTTTTCCATTGTGCAGCTCAGACTGCAATGCAATGTTGGTCCTGCTTGATTGAAATTTACCCCAGGTGTTAGGCAGCACTTTAATCCTGCTCCCACTGATGCCAGTGGCAGGAAAAGTGGCACCCAGGACTGAAATGCTTGTGAAGAACTTGTCATAAAGCCTTTGAGCACTAAATTTCATCAAATATATTGAAATGAATGGTAATAATCTGTTCTTATACCCTGTGGCCATTTAAGTAACCTGCTGAACTATTAATGTCTTCCATCACCTCACTCAAATTTGAGAATTACTCATGTCTCACAGACAGATAAAAGGGGCAAAGTTAACAGGTTTTTTTTTTTTTTAAATCAGGGCATTACTGTACATAGCTGTCCATGAGAAGTGACCCAGGACCATAATGGATATATGTCTACTTCTTTAGACCTAACTCACAAATATATCATTACATCTCTGTGTTCTTCAAATTACTCTTCTCAAGATTATGGAATTTGGTGATTCCAAGGTACAAAGAATGGCAAAAATACTCCTTCCTGATTAGAGGAAGTAYCAAATTACAAAAGAAACCTTACTGTTCCAAAGCTGTTTTTTTTTCAGCCAACCTTAGCCCTCTTTCTCAGCTTTTTTCCTAAGCAGATTTACCATTCATTGTGCAAWTTTTCTCTCTTTGAGCCATTCTATCTCATATTCTCTTTTGCTTCTCTCAGAATAGCTGGTTTGACAAGTTATACKCCTCAGGACCTAAAACAAGTGCTTCTGGATTTGTGATATCCCTGTTCTTCAAGGAGTGTCCCATTTCCCCTCTCCTTCATCTCCTCTTATATAGTTCAACAGTCTAGATGATGGTGTCCTAATTCAGCTGAATATTTTGTTTGATAGCTGAAACAGAAGCTGGATGTCATTCCCACAAAACTCAAAGTTGAATGCAGCCCACGACAAAAGCAAGAAATCAGTATTCTCACCCTTAGGAAGTTTTATCTACAATTATGTATGTAACAAGTAAGTTCCTTGTTGCTTGAAAATAATCATCCCGTTTGCAATTCTGGGTTTCAAATCCTAACATCAAGTTTTGCAGAAGTTCTTCCATCATAATATGCATTTGAGATTCAGATAAGTTCTTCCATCCTGATGCGTTTTATGATGCAAATTCTTTTAATTAGACAGTAGTCTATGAATTGCAAGGCCTATGTAGCAGAGTAGCTGTGTATTATCCATCACAGCGAGTCTGTTACTGAATTTCAATACAGTGAAAGCTTTCCCTGGGCCACAGCAGACACCAGAATGACCCCACTAAAAGCTGTGGAGTCACAGTTTCCATCTCACACACTTACATATCTTTGATTTGACAAACAGGAACGAACTGAAAATATGCTGCACGTAAAAATGGAACTTAATGTATGTCTTAAAAACAAACACAGCCTAGGATTTAACCTATTTTGTCTGTTTGCACTGATGTGAAAGGGAATTTGCTACAGATTTCAAAAGATTCGAGACCTTTAAGAGTAGGAAACAGTGAACTTAATTAATTGTAACAATCTCAATAATGTTAATCAAAATACATATTCAATTCTAAATAATGAAATGAAATAATGTGTGAACATGGACCTGTGTGGAGACAGATTTGAATGGAACAWACCCATATAAATAAAATAAATGCAAATATACTGGAATACCTTTTAAAGTTTAAAAGAAATACAAAGAAATTTTCTCTTGCAATGAGTTTGTAATATCTCTTTTTATGTGATTAAAATGCTAGAGGCTTGCTTGCCTTCCTTCATGGTAGAATATATTAATTATCAGAACAAGGAATAAATCTAAGTGAAGTGGATATAACCTTAAAAATCAGGGTGGCTTGTTACATAAATTATATGCAGTTGGCAACATTCTCAAAACAGTTTTATAGAGAGATCTCAAGACTAACTTGACTGGTTTTACTTTAACAACTATCAACTTTAARTAATTTTATTTATACAGTCAAGTAAAATATCCAAACTTGTTATTTCCCTCCTCCTTTCTAGATTTTCAGTCCGACTGTTTGTTTTAGTTCTTCAAGTGTGGAAGAATTTCAAGAACTGATAAATGTGGTTGCTGGTTTATAAAATAGATAATCTATTGCAACAACTTCATTATGACATGTTACAGAGGGTTTTTTGTTTGGTTGGTTGGTTTTTAAATACAGTCATTTTGTAGACTAAATCTTTACAGTACTTTGTATTTTAAAAGAAATTGAAAAGATCAAACATCTTCATATTCATGGTAACAAACAKAAAAATAAGTTAGATGGATGAAAACAAACACACATCTCTTCTCAGCTGATTTTCACCCATGAAAAGGAACACAGATCAGTAGAGGTTAAGAGGATAATAATGGTTAACAACCATAATGAGAACACAGCAACAAATGCACTCTAACATTTAAAATGTAARTGCAGATTATACTCTTTTCTCTCAGTGAAGTCTTATGTTCTGAAACTTTCTGTCCAGATAAGAATGAGTGGATTATTAAAACTGTACTTAGTCTCCTTTATGTAATTCATGAAGGTTTTTTTGTTTCTAATCCTCCAACAGATCACTTGTAAAGAATCAAAAATATAGAATACAAAAATTAAAATGTATATGAAAAAAATCTGTTTTTGCAGCATTTGTAGGAAAAAAGTGCTGGAGAAAGTGTTTAGAGAAAGCTGTAACATGGAAAGATTTTACACTTGAATATGGGAATATTTGTGGAATACACTACAAATACAGAAATATCAGCTTCTGTTTCTCTGCTGAAGATGTTTAATGACTTGACTYTGTATTGTAGGTGCAATCCTTACAAAAGCCACTGAAAATGTAACATCTACATGAGCCAGAAGTTGCTGGAATTGGAAGAACTTGGACACCTGCCTTGGAGGCTCTGGGCATTTCCACCTGAAGGCGTTAGAGGTTGTTATTACAAACCATTCCAAAGCTCCAAACCGGGTCAGTTATGCAGTTACACRTCACAGTGTACCTTTGGTTACTGGATGAAGCAAGAGGGGCTGTCTGGCCAAAACTGGCCTCCCTCTGGCTTGTACCTGCTCCAAGCCCCACAGAGCCCTTGGAGGCCACTGGCTGAGCATTGGCAGTGTTGGCATCCCTGGTGGATGATTTAGGAGGATGCCAAATACTCGAGGTCACATACTGTGGTGCATGCGTGGTACCTGCAGGCCTGGGTAACAGAGATTACAAGGGTGTTTGTAAATGAGGCATTTCCTAGGTAACAGCAGGTGTTTGAGGAAACACACAATTCCAGCCACGGAAGGAGCTGGAGATCATAATGATAGTGCAGATGAAGTAATGACTAATTTTGACAGTTCATTAGTTAATGAATGCTTAAGACCAGGTATGGCTTGATGAATTAAAAAAAGGTACCTTGTGTTAAATCTGAAAACAATATTGTTATGAATATCAAAATTAGCAAAGCTTGGATGATAGTGGAGGTGGAGAAAGGCTGTGGTAAGACAAATCACACAAGATTAAGGCAAGATAGTATGACAATAACACCAGTCATATATCAGAAATTGTTCCTGGCAAAATAAAATAATGATTTTTAAAAAGGAGATTTCAGTGAAGCAGTTGCACAGTCCAATAGATGGTTTTACACAAATAAAACTGGTGSTGGAATTCTAACATGTGTTGCTTGTTCTTTACAATTCAATTTGTATTCAGGAATCAAGGGGTTTTTTTTCTTCTTTTTTATAATTAATTTAAAAATAAAAATCTATTTTCTCAACTGTTCAAGGGCCAGTTGCCATTGCTTGTGTTTATTAACAAATAAKGCTTGCAGCCTTTGTTCAAATGTAGTCTTAAAAMAACACMAAAAAAAAAAAAAGAAGTGGTTGCMTATCACTGAGGCAGGAAYCTAGAAGAYAGAGGAAACAGTGCAATAAAATTATTTTAATGACAAACTCATAAGAGGCCTTTCTTTGCTCCATGAAAAAATTGGTCAGATTCACTGAAGAAGCACCTGTGTGGCTTAGTACATAAACTAATAGAAAACACTTTCCTATACTTAACTGCAAAATGTGTTGAGATCCTTTGGGAGAAAACAACTCAAAATGAAAGAACTTACAGAGGGACTGTTTTGAACCTCATAAACAATTGAGGATCAATGACATACAAATGTTCTTAAAATACCAAAAAATATATTGTATKTAGATTTTAAAAACATCTTGAACAATCTAGATGAAATTTTAAATGGGAATTATTCTTAAAACTCTATTACAAACTGAGAGTACTCCATTTCAAGATTATATCGTAAAAACTCCTTATTTGTCAGGTGTGTGAGCTCTGAGAAACAACATCCCCACCTGTCCCCCATCACAGTGCATTGGAAAGAAATGCCAAATGAACTCACTTAGTTGAAGTCTCTGTTTTCTTCATCTGCTCAAACAGTTTATAAATTTTATGCTTTTGAGGTAAGAACAATATGGAGAAAGTGGAGATGCACTCTTAACAGAAGTAAATCAAACACAGCAAACATTACCTGTTTTCTGATGCTGCTGCAACGTTTTCCTTGTCTCTGTGAAAGGAGGGGATACAGTATGAAATAAATGCAGTAGCCAGTGGGGGCAAAAAATCCCCACCCCAAACACCCAGGGAAAAAGAACGTGGATTGAGGAGAAATGTTTGGTTGCAAAAAGCATCCTAGAGTGGTTGCTTATAAATGTAGTTGTGAGAAACCTCTTCAGCTTTCCAGGTGAAACCCACCAGATACAGAAGTTTGCTGTATGCTTGTTATCAGCTGCAAACAACTTTGTTTCAATAATAAAGTAAAAGGAAAATTAACAGTTAAAGTATGACATTCTATGTGTGTATATAATTTCAGGAACAGTTTTGRCTTTAATAAGTTCCCTTCAAAAAGAATCAATAATATTTCAGCAGAATATATTTGATGCCAAATCCAAGCAGTAAAAATAATCAGAGTTGGGCTGTCCTCACTGACCCGATATTTTGAAGTGATAAGCAGTTAAATGGTGAACAAAGACTTATAAAAGAAGGATTTCTTGTGCCTGACATCACTTAAAAATTCTCTGTTCTATCCAAATACTAGTTTTCTGAACCTAAATTGGAATACAACCAATTCCTTCATTGACAATTCCTTCAGTTGGAAATCATTCATTCATTGAGGTGAGGATTAAGCCAGCCTCAGTTTCACTGATAGGGAACTGGGCTGTTATTCTGTAGACACATACACACTTTAAAAAATAATTGACCAGTTTAAATACAAACAATTGCTTATCTATAAGAAGTTAAGACACAAGTATTTTCATAAAGAATAGAATCCATTGGCCTTAAACAGCTATGTTTGAAATCCAGTTAGTTAAGTAATTGAGATAGTYTCACTATTTAGCAATTTGATGGGTGGTTGCATTCTTTCCTATTTATGGAACTGTGCTGAAATTTCAGCAGGTTTAATGCCAAAATGAGATATATAATGCCACATGAGAACATGTTGCTCTAAAATTAGAAAACACAAAGCAAATGTTCTCATTTATCCAACTAAACCTTTTTCTGAAATGTCCTTTGAAAACAAAAAAGGAATACATGCACTTCTCTATGTGGATTTGCTGGGCTCCAATCATTAACTTACATTATGTTTGGAAGTATTGTGTTGATGTACTTATATATTTATATATATATGTACAGTCACATATTCTTTCCTTAGTTCAGTTCCAATAAAGTTATAAAAAMCAATCCAGTTTAGATCAGCAAAGGCTTGGGCACAGGTGCTCTCTACACGTTGTTAAAACCTCTAACTAAGATGTAACTCCAAAATATATGAACCGAAGATTTTGAAACCCAGAAGTTGACTGTAACTGCCCCTCAGATGTGTCTGTGCCTGRGATGTGCTGTGGTTGGTAAGGAGGAGCCTGCCTTAAACAGCAATCCCCCAATGAGGTTGATGGGGTCACCACTCTGAAGCAATGAGAAACCAAACACTGTCTTTATGGTAACCAAGCTGTGAGTTCACTGCAATGCCAGCTTTAGAAAAGTCAGGACGAAACAAGGACGAGGAGGATGCATTAGAAACTGTGCACGTGTGGGAAGTGTTAATTTACCAAGAGYCATAATAATCATGCAGCAATGTTAAAGAACACAGTCACGGCCTGGAAAGGAAATACAGCACTGTTTATCTCCAGTGTTATCAAATGTTCTGTGAGAAATTACAGCCAAGACCAAAAGGCAGGCAGTTGGGGTTAGGCTGAAGCAGTGTTAAGCCTCTGTTGTTACAATTATTCTGATCCAAACTTTTCTGCTCCAATTGCTGTGGCTACACTGAACAAGGCAAAAGAAGTCACTTTGAGGTCAGGATTTCACAAAAGTTTTTTCCCCAAGTGTACAATATTGGAAAATGTTGAGTGACAACAGCAGGGGAGTTGTGAAGGTTTAAAAGAGAGAGAAATATAGTAAAAATTCCACAGAATAAAGCAAAGGAAAAAGAAGACAGTAAAGGGGGAAAATTAGTTCAAAAGCACATGRTTTTTCTTCCAGGAACTCTTTCTCTTCCCAGTCAATAGGAGTAATTCCCATTTGGCTACCAAGAAAAAAAGCTCAAGATCAGATGTGCCTCTGACTAGCAATACTCRAATTTTAAGGAACAGACTATTGGATTTCTGGCCTTTACAATCAAAACATTTTTTTGCTAACTAAATGCAGAAATAACTTTACTTTTGAGCCAAATACATCCCTGGGGCAGGCTCAGTAAAGTCAATACTTTCACAACATGAAAGAATTTGGCTCAGAATATTATAAGCTGTTTGTATCTCTGTCTACACAGGCTGCAGCAATAACTGACAGTGGTGGATAATAGTTTTGAGCTATCTGGGAGAAATTTAAAATTATTGTGGAGTTTGTTTTTTTTTTGGTCTGCAGTTGTTTTATGACCCACTGAAATGGCTTTTGATAGAAGGGCCTCAGTCAATGACTGCTCTGAGAGAAGAGTGCAATTCCCACAGATTTCATTAAATGCTGGACCTATATCTCAAACAAGACTTATTAATGCAATATACTGTCTTCCCAGTTACACAGTATATTATACAGTGGAAACTATGAAACATTTTCTTAGCATAAAAATATGTTACATTAYATGGTGCTAAAGGCAGAGTGAGTGAAATTATAGAAGTAGTCTTTCTCTCCCACACACCAAYGAGAATTACAATAGTTTGAGTAACAGAAGGCAAAATTCATTTGCAAGCCAAGCTTGTGTGGACTATTGGATCCTAAAAATAGCCTGGAGAATATTCAGAGAGTTTCCAATTAATGAGTATGTTAAATCTGAATTATATGTACTGCACATTGGAATACTTTGCCATTCTACTTTATTTTTGGGAACCAAATGTTAAAAGATTCCCAAACATGTACATGTAGCAGGCAAGCTGAAATGTGGTAGTTGTGCACCTTCCATCTACCTTCTCCTCAGACAGTGATGGATCCAGACCCTCTCTCTTGAAAAGCTCTGCTCTGTTCCACTGAAATGTTGTTAAGACAGAATCATATGATTTGTAATGAAGACCTGGTGACATAACAAACATGAGGTGTCCCGAGGGACCACATGATCCTTCAACTTATGTCCTTTCTTTCAGTGATGAAACAAGAAGTAAATATTGTAATTGAGTTTTTTCTCTTTTTCTCTATACATGGAGCAAGTCTATTTTTTATTTCTAAAATTAGAGACTGAAACTTAACAGAATTGTTCATGGTCTAAAAGCAAGTCCACAGCAGTACAAAGAACTGTAATAAACTCTCCTGAACCCCTGAGAGGTATTTAAAATACCAGCTCATACCCTTTAATGAGAGACTATATACTTTTTAATAAATGTCTATTCAGTTTATCAGTATTTTACTGTATTGAGAATGAAATCATCTTCTACAGTCTGACAGATATACAATAGTCTTTTTTCAAAGGGGAAACAGACCTACAAAATATTAGGGTCTATATTTATTGAAATTAAAAATTCTGTTTTTCTTGTAGAATAGTGTGGATTTGCAGGGCTAATCAGACAGCTTTYATCAGACTATTCAGATAGCTTTCATCCTAACATGTACTTATATAGGCATATTTGCCTACAAATAACATTTCCTTTTAAGAAGTAGAACTTACGAAATAACTTTACAAGAAATTCTTACAGGGTATCTGGTGGTAAAGTCGTGTGAAAACTATTTTGTAACTGCCTTCCAAACGTTTTTTGTCCTGACAGCGTGAGATGCTGACACTGTTGAAAACTGGACAYTGAACTAGATTAACTGCTGTTCTGATCCAATAAGACAATTTCTACCTTTCTGTATTTGCAGCTGGGAGTTTTTCCTTGGTCAAATGACTAAAAGACTGTTGAGGTTGCTTGCCTTTCCTCCCCCCTGCCCCATGCTATATTTCTGTTATTTTAACAAAGACACCATAAGACAAACAAAGAAATGACAGGCAGTTAACTGGAGASGACAGAAGATGACCATCATGCTGGTTTAGTTAACACTTCAGCTYGGGATGACAAAGAGGGGGTAGAAGAGCTGGTCTCTCTTTTTCAGCCACTGTAGTTAAGAATGTGAGCAGCCCACGCCAAAACAATTGCAATATATCCTACTATGCCTGCTTTCCAAAACAGGGAAATACTATTCTCAGAGAAGGTATCCTGGTTTGTGCAGACAGTGCCACAGAATAGGAAAAGCATTATCACAGATTGTGGAAAACAACCAGCAACTCATTCTCAACACGTAGTATGGAACTCAATCAAAACAGCTCAGTAAAATCCAAGCCAATCCCTCCTATGAATGCATTTTAGTGGCATCTACAGGTTTGCTGTTAAATGTGACAGTCACAGAATAAATGCAGCTGGACACACAGCAGCACCAGTGTCAGGGAAAAGTAAGAGAACTCTTGCCCAAGTTTACGTTGTGATATTTGGCATACATACTCCTATTTGAAATTTTATCTTATTGGTAAATATATCACTTTGATAAGAACAAAGGCTGCAAAATTGTGAGCATGTGTAGCAATTGTAGCTGGGAATTAATTCAGATAATTATGCCCTATCTTGGCCATAAGTGTGCAACTGGATTTAATGGAATGAATCCCTCGAGCTTTCCATAGCCCCACTGGTAGAGTGCAGGAATCACCAGGCACCTGAGCACAGGATCCAAACTCTCAGCCTGTGTTTGTGACCACTACAGACAAAACCAACGCACAACAAGCTTAGCTTTTGTACGCCATGAAATTATTCCCCTTTCACTGCAGTGTTCTTACACATCATGATTTCTTTTTCCAGGGAAGCTGAGAAAAGAACAAGAACTCCCCTGACTTTCAGGGGATAGGTTTTTTAGACCTACTTTTGAATTCCTGCATATTGATGATAAGAAAATTCATACTTCCTCTACATGGCATTAAGCTAAGTTTGAAGCTGCCCCTGAAACACAGCAACGTGTCTGTGCTGTTCAGCTCCTGAATCAAATAACTAAGTGGTATGAATTAGAACAGTTGTCATTCTTTCAGAACAATTTTATTTCGTCAGCTCTCTAAGGATTTTC